GCGAGTAGCAAGGATCCAAGACTGCCGCCCCGGTCTCCCCGATCAGACGCGGCGCGGTCAACTACTGAAATTAAAATGCACCTAGGTCGGGACGCGCTACCTGAAAGGCCCGCTGAGGCATGGTTGTAAAAAAACAATGTTAATTGTTCCGCAAAACCTTGCGAACTAAAGATGATAAAAACATCACGCGCCCATCGTTTGGTACTAAACTCCAATAAATTTCATACAAAAAAAAGTCTTTTCCGTTTGTTTTTACGCAAAAACAGGCTTTCAAAAAGCTCAAGGTGACTAAGTACAGACAAATGATAAAGAGTGGCGCTGTTGTCGCATTTAGCTCGGTCTCGGTGGACGCCAGCGGCATAGGTTTCGACGGCGAGTTTCCCAACTGAGTATTTTAGCAACGTTGGTACAGCCCATAGAGTTATAATAATATACGCTAGAGGTTCAACTGGCGCTAGTGTCTATGCGACTTCCGGGAGGCAAATCGAAGCAGACAGCAACCAGTCTACTTTTGTGCTCCTGTGCATTCCTATGGGAACTTGAACGCGCGTGAAATTTGTCTCGTCGCCGGAAAATAACATGAATAACTTGTATTATTTCGGTTGTACCGGATAGTATGTACATTTACTATCATTGTAAAATTGTAATTGCTTTAATTACAGCATTTTCATTTACCACTGAACGATGTTAAGCTCCGCTATATTTCAGGCCCAAACCTATGTTCCATGGCAGGTATGTAAAAACGAGTGACGATTCTAAGCAAACTAACGATCGAAAAGAATGTACAGTGTATTCAAGGTTCGCTAGCATTGCGGTGGCGCTTATATATTGCTAATATGCCCGCCCTGTCACTCTATGAAAATGACTCCGTCGTGCATCTTTACGATCGGTTAAAAAAACATTCGAATATAAGAAATAAAGTACGTGGACTGCGAAAGGTGTGCCTTTTTATTATTTCCTATGTCGAGCAGTTTTTATCGGGCACCTGTTCTCTGACTTCTCCCTCTTTGCAAAGATTTAAAGCGTGCAGTTGATGATTTGAACCCAGAACATGCATCTTTGCACATATTCATGAGCAGAAAGAATAAAGCAGTACTTATTTATTGCAAATCGGACTATATTACGTGGCTTTCAATTTATTTTGATCGCCTGCGTGTACAAGGAGTTACGTATCCAGTGTTAATGCGTGGTTCTTGAAGTATCTCTTGGTTTTCTACATGTCCTTCGTTCGTTTGACACGTATGTCCCCCATGGTGGAAAGCGCCGGTGCCGTGTTCGCGCTAACAGTGTCCGACAGTGCATATAGGCTCCTTGCACTGACGTCACATCGCGCACATTTGAACACCAAGTAAAAGGAGGAGAAGGAAGCTGCTTTTGTAAGAATTTTGAGTGACAGGTTAATCTTCTGGGAGGAGAATGGCGACGCCTGTGCAAATCCGGGAGGCACAAAGGAGGATCCTGATAGGAGGGGAGCTCCCTCTTCCCCTCTTCTCTGGAGGGCAACGGAAATGACGTCCTGTGCAAGCCACGTATAAATACATGTACGAAGCGGTTTTAGCACCATTTTTCATGCCACGAGTTTCAAATAAAAACGCCGTAACTGACCAATTATTTCGTCTGCGTGACTGAGAAATGTTCCAATGTGCCAGTACGTACGTCGTGATATTTGCCCTTATAATCGAGCGCAGCGAGAAAATTCACTCGCTTTTTCCCATATAAATGCATTACGGGAAGTCAATTTCCGACTGGTTGCTGTACCCTCCCCGAAATTCAGTCTGGCCACTTTGATCACCATCATCATCGGAAAAATGGCATATGTGCCGTACTAATGGCGGCCGTCTGTTTACTGATGAACGAAGTTGAAGATGCTCCTTCATTTCTAGCTCGGGCCCAGCCAGTCTGTTGGTAGCATCAAGGTGCTCCAGAGCTCATTGATTTGTAGAACTTTATCAAGCCGTGTACGTGGGTTGACGCTTCGTTTTGACTGGTTGCATCTCTTTTTCTGTCGTCACTGAAAGAGATTGAGAAGGAAATGTACTGTGAAGCGCACACTGTCATTTGCCGTTGACTTGCCAAAGCGACGGTGCCCGATAAAATACGGCAGACTCCATTTTCATTGCCGCCATTAGTACGGCAAAAGTTAAACTGCCATTATAGCCACCAGATGTCACTGAATTTCGGGAAGGGTCTATTACACTAGCACCACTTGAACCTCTAGCGTATATTATAAGAGGGAGTTTCAGTAGATCGATTTCAAAGGCCCGCTACCACTACGACCGCGCGCTTCAAAGCATGCATCGAAGTGAAAGCGCGAGCTCCCACTACGATTAACGTGGCCTGAAAACACGATCTACTAAAACTCTCTAATAACTCTATGGTGCAGCCGACCAGCGAAAGAAAGGAGACGACACGCAGACGAAATCCGTGGGCCACAAAAGCGCCGCCGTTATGCAGATGCCTTTTTTTTTTTTTTTACTTGAAGTTTTGCTTTTATTGCCTGCATTTATTTTTTAACCGAAGGTACATTTCCAAAAGATTATGTTCATTTTAATAAACCATGGTGATCGCGAGCCGTCGCGATAAGGAGATAGCACCATTTATCAATACGAACGCCAAACACACCCCACTACTGAACTCCTGTCGTCTGCGTCGCTGCCCGCCATAAACCATGGCAAGTTTCTTGGCCTTGTTTTTTTTACAGAAAGAGAACTACGCTTTGTGATTTTACAAGAAAAAATCGACCTGTGAAATACACCTTGGACGAAAAGTTTAGATTGCTACGTGCAGGCGTCGATTTTTACGGTCCATTTTAGATCGAGCCTGGTGACTTGGTTCATAAAAAAAATAATAAATAAATGCATGCTTCAATGTGAAATTGACTACTGTGCAAAGTGGCAGTATCCACGCATCGAGCTTCGAAATTTTATATTTCAGGAAGATTAGCTACAAGGTTAGTATATATCTGAGTGCTCCTCCCAAGAACGCAGTTTTCACATATATGGTTTTACATAAACATAAAAAAAAAAAAAAAAAAAAAATGACCCGGACCATAATTTTACGATTTGGTGTGAAAACACCCTGCTGTGCAACCTAGAGGCATCTAATAACTGTCAAATCTGCGTAGTAAAGAGAACCCCCCCCCCCCCCCCCTACGAGGGTGTGCATAAATACTATGTATGCACATCGAAGTAGACGTTGAGTAGGCGCGCACGCTCGCACTCCCCTTTCCATCCCGAAGTTTAAACGGTTCCTAATAGCGTTGCGCTCGAAGTTTTAGTTTGTAGAAATACAGTTGCACCCAGGGACGCCGGAAGTATATCGTGAGTGGGGGGGCTAAAGCCACGTTCCTTTTTGTCGTTTTTTGTATGATGTACTTTTTTTTTTTTTTAAGAATTTAAATATTACGATCTGAGTTTCTTTTGAGAGAAAACACTATCCTATAGCGGGTTCGTTTTTGTTCCTTTCACTAGGTCCTGTGCGGTTTCTATTTTCTGCATGAGAAAAAATTTTCTTACGCAGTGCTCCTAATTGCTAAATACTGTATATCATCAAGAAGGAACTGTACATAACAAGTTTTCAGAGATCACTTCTTTATTGATGGTCTACAAATTCATATTATGGCAAGATGGTATTTTCTCTGTTTATATATACAGGGGCGCAAAAAAGGATTGCATGTAGGTAACGATAGGAAAGCGAGGAAACAAGCAGTGTGATTGAATTGACGCATTTACACAAACGGAACTCATAATGAGCTAAGAAGAACTGCGGAATATCTTACCTTGAGAATCTCCGCTTCCTTGGCATGTACGCTTTGGGGCTGGTAGGAAGAAGCTGGTGATCTTTGGATGGCCAGACATTGCTTGTAATGCTGGAGTCGAAGAGACACTGCCTGACGCTGACTGCATACGCCTCTGACGGGTTGCCGTTGGACCCTCCCGGTGTCGTTGGGAGGGTAGGATCAGCCCCGATGATCTTGGAGCTTGGTGGGGAGCACGTTGTTGAATGATGCTCTGACTCGCTGCTTCTCGTAAACTTCAACGTTTATCTAAACGCATTCAACTTGGACGACCACCTCTCTGGTTCCGAGTCTAAGACGAACTCCGCTAATTTCATTTCTCGCTTTTCGCATCACAACTCTAACTTTCCCTCGCTCTCGAAGGAAGAGCCAATAATTTCAAACCTGAAGATCATCACGTGCTCTCGACCGGACCAGTCGTCGGCAAGGACATCTTGAGACCTTCCTAAACGAAAACAACCGTCAAAGCTCGTCAAATATGACAGAAAGCGTCTGGTCCGAGGCGACAATCTGGCGCCACACATGTCTCGTCGCAGTATCCCCAACGCTACGACAACAGCAACACCAACAAAACTATAATCTCCGGGCTCTAGAGGCCCCCATACTAAGCCCCAGTTGGCCCCCGCGCGCCACTCCCCGGCCTTGCCACGGGCAGATCGGGTCCAGCTTGCTCTAAACCCTCGTAGCCGCCGTGCTAATGGACGACGGACATTGGATTAAAAAAAAAAAAAAAAAAAGCGCGCTCCCGATATTAATTGTTCTTGTCTAAAATCTCTACGTGCGACAAGACTGTGCCTTGCTGCTCCGTGGCTTGCACCTAACATGGACGCACGTGATGCCTTCGTGACGAGCGCCTGGCTGGCGTTATATCCCCGAACTATTCTTATGAGGGCAAGGGGGCTGAGCCCCCCCATAAGAATACTTGGGGGGGCTCTGGCCCCCCCCTGCCCCCCGTCTTCCGGCGTCCCTGCTGCACCGTAATACAAGCGAGAGACAAAGAGGTTAATCAAAGTTGTCGCTTCCTGTATGATGTGGTTTCGGTTTTGCTATTACCCGTAATTCGTACGATTCGCACTTGCTCAAACTAGGCTTAACGTTGTAGTGACACAGGAGCTTCAAAAGCAACCATAAAACAAATCCTGTAAGATATTTGCCCATTTAAAGTTATTTGTGTAATTTTTGACCCGAAGGTTTGCGGAGGAAATTAACCTATTTCGAGACGCTTCTAGAATGCATCTGGCAACTCTGTCATGGGCAATCATGGCCAATGATGGCCGCGTCTTGAAGACGGAAAGCGGAACAACAAAGTCTTCCCCTGCGTAACCTACGTTTGTTCGCTGCTTGTTTCGACGTCTTTGAATCGGAGCTACCAGGTTTGTATTCACGAACATTTGACACTGTACGTGTGACAACTGTTAGGTAGCGATAAAGGGAACGGTTGGCTTATCTCGTTTATATACGATGCAAATGTAATCCAGAAACCGGAATTCTGTGCACTTCCTCGGTATAATTAATATTTTCCGTGGTCGTGTCGTATTTAGTTATTCTTTTTCAGTACGATAACCCTGAATTTACGGAATTCTTTTGTTTTCATTGTTCGCTTTGTTCAGATGCTTGTAACTGCGCCGGCAGTGATTGTTTATGTGTAGTCGCCGTTTGCGCAACTTCGTCTGAAGTGGGCAAAAACGTCTCATACTACTGAGCTCCTCCGATGTAGCGGCGAGACAATTCGCGAGAATTACCATTGTCTTACAGTGTAACTAAGTAAATGTTACTTTCACGCGGCCCTTTTTATCTGCGAAAATGATTCACTCTAAATTTGGTAATTTTTGTTTTGTCTGTTGAGACCTGGGACAAATCAACTCGTCCAAACTGCTCGTTCGAGGCCATTTAATGCAGGTAGCCTGTGGAAACAACGCTTGTCCGTTGTGCTTTGCGGTGCTGCGTACTGACCTCTATTTAAGAAAATGAACGATATTGGCGTGTACAGTTTGTGGCCTCCTTTTACTCGTTTGTTTTTCAGTCATGGCCTTAGGCAGAGGTGCACAACATACTGACTGCAGCGCCAATGAAAATTGAGCCCCCCTTCCCTACACACACACACACAGGAAATTCTAAATGTAGAAGGAGAAGGACTGTTCAAACTATTTCAAGCCTCACACAAAGTGGGTATTCCAGAATCCGAAGGTGCTTTAAAGAGGCCATGAAATTATTTTTCAGCTTCTTCCTTCTTAGCTTTCCTCCTCGACTCACAAATTGTGCAGCAATACTAAAGGTACAGGGGCGAGAGTATACCGATAGCAGTTTAAGAGGAGGGAAAGGAGGAACACTTCTTGCTCGAACCCTCCTTTGTGTACCTCCATGTTGCCATTCTCCACCTTGGAGATTAGCCCGTCACTTAAAATTAGGACAAAAGTTGCTTTCCCCCTCCTGCCCGTGGCTACCGCAGTACTGCGCACAACTCTCGTGTCCAACGCATGAGCTGGGGCCGGTTGAGGCGCTTTGGGTACTGTGAATGTATCGCAGTCGAAGGAAAACAGTATAAAATAGTCCGCTATTTTTTCAAATTTTCGTACCAAAAAGCAGGCTTTTCACATTCTATCCTCTTTTGGCTCACTAAGCAACATGCGATTAGTAAAATCCCAATCTAAATTCATTGATCCAAGCCCAAAATTATTTTAAAGGGCAAATCCGGTCAATTTAAAAAAATTTGAGGTATTGGTTGATTATACATCCCGAGGTAGTTATAAACGGTTCTACATCATTTCTTTCGAGAAAAAGTAATATTTTTCGCACAATCCTTATTTAAAGCTCGCCACAAACAGAAACATTGGCTGCGGTAGGAAACATTGCTTCCGTGTCGTCACTTACATCCTCTAACCACGGTGTACAAATCGTGACGTCACATACCAGGCACGCGGGCAGGCGAAAGTGTTGTCTGCTACGATCGGCAGTCTGCTACACCCGACGACGGCTGCACTACTGCGGCCGCGGCTTGTTTTAGCTCAGAAAAAGGCCAGTTTTCCCAAGGGCTTGTTTTTAATGCATTAGTAGAAAGTGAAGTTCAGTAAACCACACGTGAATATGTTGCGACGGGTTTGTAGAAGCAAATACTTGGTAGAAGTATGCCATGCTCAATGTTGCAAACTGGTTCTCTTGCACGCGACAGGAACTGTGGGCGATGACTCGTGCCCACACGAGAGCACACAGGCGCATGCGCGTTCTGCATGCACCTGTAAAAGTGCAAAGCAAGCATGCAAATCTCCCTGAGAGTCCTAAGCATGACGCAGGTAGCACAGGGTAAGCTGCCCTGACATGCTGGTATTGACTGCGCTGTTGTCTTCGCCACGCCTCACCCGCTAGGATTAGCAAATTCTGGTAATTTCGCGCATCTCAAACTTTGTTTGCAAGTTTCATAAACTTTTAGGTACAATTAGATATAAATATTGGGCGTGTGGTCTATTTAGGCGATATCAAAGAGAACTGCATTGTTTTCATAATATGTGAAATGAACTGGAGTTGCCCTTTAAGCAAATTATAGGCTTTGTTTGCCGGAGCCTGGAATCCAGCGAACGCATTTATAAAGCCCATGCACTGATCTGTCTGCTCACGTGGAGACAATCAGTTATCAATTTAGGGGTAAAATAAAACGTAACGATGACAGACTGCAAATTATATTGAAAACCAAGAATGTGCATGCATGCACGCATTTATGTTGCACCCAGAATGCCGGAGCAGATTGCGCTTGAAAATACTTGGAAGTCTGATTGGTTATCATGCTCGGAAGGCATGGGTAGGTGCTGTTTGTTGATGTCCTGCCCAGCTCAAACCTGCATCATTGATGGTGACGTTCCACCCACGTGAAGTTGCCTCACAATATGTGCCATTACACCTCATCCATCCGTTCTAGAACAGACATTCTCAATCCTTTCTACCACAAAGAACACTAATATGGCTTGAATAACGTACGAGGAACCTCAATCATTTTATCCAACGAAACAAAAGGGGTGGAACGGCTGCTCCATTTGCGTCATTTTGCGCCAGACGCATTAGTCTGCGCCATGTTGCGGAAACTGCGCCACAGCCAATACCTTGCGCCATTATGTATCAAATCGCAAAATGTATGCCAAAAAAATTGTATTTTGCCTTGGTTTCGGTTTTCATAGACTCGATTGGCAACAATGAGCGCGTTTAGCTCGGTGGACATTGCAATCCTTTGTTCTGTTTATTCTCCCTGTGTATCCCTAGTCGGAAGCACGCGAAAAAACTCGGGGGTCGGATTCCAAGCGCTGCACCAGCTGCGACTTGATTGTTCTTCAACCATGAGTGGTTAAGCAAGTCGGCAGAGGTGAGGTCGAGTCGTTAAGCGTCAGATTGCCTGAGGCTCTGCTGCCTGGGATCCGGACGTCAGCCAGTTGGAAACAAATGAGCAAAGGATTCCTTTTAGTACTTCATCGTTAGAAGTTGGAGCCGCATTTTCGCAAGATAAATCGTGATTTGATAGAACTGAAACGCGGTCCGATCCAAAACCTTGCCGGCCAGCAGCTCTCACGCGAGCGGTAAATCTGCTCGGCGTACTTTAACCTCGCTCCTGCTTATCGCTTCGAATACGATAGCTCCGTTAATCGCAGTCTACTGCTTCGATATTGAGTTGCACAATAGGATAAACTCGAAATTTGTTGCCCTGTTCCTCCGCGCAACTGCACGCCCATTGCTTATGCACGTCACATGGTTCGCACATATAATTACTATGTCAAGCATGTGTGGGTTGTGCGATAAGCAGTGCTGGTTTGCATTTTGAGCAGCTGAAAGCCACTCAGAAAATATCAATGACGCTATCTTCAGAAACCTATGGTACTTACTTTTTGGTTCTCATCAAGGCTCAAAAAGTTTCAAGTTTTCGCATCTTTTACACTGTTATCCAAACTACCTAGGTTCCTAACCACTCATGTTCATCTCTGCTGCCAAGCACAATTGAAATTGATCCCGTGCTTGTCTAAGACACAAGCTGAAGTGCAATGAAAACTGATCTGAGGTGCGCCTAGCCTGCTCCAGAATGTAGTTTTAGCTGCTCCCAACCTGCTCCAAAACAGCTGTTTCAGCTGCTCCCATGGCTGCTCCCAAGTACATATCATGAGTTCCACCCCTGAAACAATAACATAGCAGAGAGGCCTGTGAATCTGGTTAACAATAATGCACATACTAGGTATTCTGCGACGTGCAGGCATGCATCATCGGATGGCTGAGACTTTCTAAAGGAGTGCTTAAACTGGGAGAACACTTTACTTAGCGGCAAGGGTGGCTGAGGGAATTCGTAGAACCCCCTAGGTACTGCTGGGGATTCCCTCAGCTCCTAAGAACCCAGTTTTAGAACCCGTGTGGAAGAATGTAAAGCCACAGTGGCATCGCAACGTGGCCCGGGTTTGGCACTAATGCCGTCCCCTACTCTCCCAGAAGCAGGGCCCACCAGCCGCATTCGGGTCACCAAGATGGCCGCCCACGTCCTCTCGTCCGAAAGACCTTTCCGGCAGCTGCACGGCACCGATGGAGTCCTGTGAGGGACTCCCATGGCCCCGCTGCATGAGCTGGCTGCTCTGCCTCTCCTGGGACGAGGCTGACATGGATTCTGGGAGGGCCGAACTATCGCTACACGTCGGGTCAGCCCAGGGAGCCGCCGCGGCACCTCCACCTCCTGACACCAGCATGAACCTGCAAGACGACCTCCAAGCGGGAAGGCCCGTGTTCTTCAGGGTCGACCTCCGCTCTGCCGCGCACGAAGAAGGGTGCGGCACACCTGCGGCCGCGGGTCAGACGCGCGCCCCGGGGGATGAGAACGCGTCGGATGGGGCTGCCACAAAACCTTCGGAGGAGAGAAGGCCAAACAGGGAGAGGCGGTCGAAGGAGGAGCCGCAGCTACCTCTCGGCGTCTACATGGCCTGCCTCTCACTCAACAAGGTAGGGCACTGTCACCCGAAGGGTCGCTGCTGCTGCGGGAGTTCCAACGTCACCGCCGCCTCTTCATCTCCGCCCACACCGCGCGACGTGGGCTCAGTGAAGACGCTCCGGTCTCGCTGCTCGCATACGGAGGCCTCCAACTATACCCTGGTCCTGAAGCCAAAGGCAGTGAAACCCCGCGCGGCAGGTTCCGCCCAATCCGTTCCCTCAGCATCCGCCGGAGTGGAGGTGGAACGGCCGGATGTGGCGAGCCGTCCGGGCAGCACTCCGTCGCAGTTTCTGGGATCGGAGGAAGGCGACCTGTCGTTGCGGGCGCAACGGCCGCCGTACAGCAGTCCCAACAGTCCAGTCCTGTTCACGCAGGTGCAGAGACAGTCTTCGAGTCCAGCCACGTGCGAAAACTGCCAGAGGTCCCGTTCGGCCACAGTTGAGTCCGAGTGGCAGCAGCGACGCGGCGAAAGGAAAGAAAAGCCGCGACGTCGCGACAGGAATGAGCGGTGCTGCTCCGAGGAGATCACCGCCCTTAGCTGCGGCGAGGATGCGGACGACTCCGCCATGTCCCGGCCGGGGTGTGCGGCCAAGAAGGGCTCTCGCTATTCTCTGGGGTCGTGTCTCGGGTCAAGGGGTCAGCGGGCGTTCAAGACTGGGGAGCACAGGCGGCGTTTCTCGCTCACGTTGCCAAGCGCGTTGCTCAACTTGTTCAGACGTCGTCGCGGGAGTTCGCCGTCCGTGCGGAACAGCGCAAGCCAGACGGAGCCCTACCTTGGGGAGGCTGTCTGCTACGGGGCCCAGGCATCCGGAAGCCCCTATGCGGTGCGGGCACTTCCCCCGCTGCCCGCAGGCTGCTCCTCGGTGTGCGACCGTCTCTCGGCTGCGTCGGATGCAGCCAGTACCACGTCGGACGAGTCGGACCGGAGGAGCATGGACTATGCGGCCAGTATCGAGAAGGTCAAGGACGTGAGTATCGGTGGCTTTTTCCTGATTCGACGGTAGCTGGTTGCAGAGGCTCGAACTTTTGAGGGCAGGTTCGTGTGCCTGACGTGAGTGTGCTTGAAACGGAATCCTCTGGTAGTCTCAGAGTGGAAGCTAATGTTTTCCTAACGGACAGCTTCTTCACCTAACCTAAGCCTCTTAGCTAAGATAAGCTAAGCTAAAAGGCTAAGAAATCTCTGCGGCTTCAGAGTGGCGGTGGGATATCCCTTATAACAGTGGTCTCAAACTCATTGGAGCCTGGGGGCCAGATATGCCACACGGGAAAGATCGAGGGCCAACGTAAGACAAGAGGAGGGGAAGGGGGGAGGGGGTGAGGCAAGAGAACCTGTGAACCTGCCAGTGACATCTTTAGATTTGATTTGTTTATGACTACTTTGGGCCCTGACCTGATGTGGTAACAAGAATTCAAATGACACCGCCCCGAAAACGTGCTGGCATTTTAATAGAACAAACAAGAAAGCAAGCACACGGTCGTTCTCGTTGCTTAATTTACTCAGAAATTAATCAAGCTCAACGTGTCTCTACAAAAAAAAAAGCAATCAGTTAATTTGTCAGTTTTTGGTTTCCTGATGTTTTTTTTTACAACACTTGGAACAAATACTTGTCTTTTAAAGGGATCCTGAACCAAACATTTTAGTGCCCATAATATGTGGCGCACGATCCTTCTACGAGCCAGCAGCCGGCGGTGTGCGCGAGCACACGGAACGAACTTGACGTCATAGTCCTCCATTCACGCTTAGGATGACGGTGGAATGTCTGTGCTCCAGGGGAAATGAGAATAAGGACAGGTTTCTTATCCCCACAGTGAGGTCTAGTGTAAAAGGTAGGCGATTAATTGGTCTAACAAGCACGTAGCTTTCACTTGTGGAGATGAAAAGCCTGTCTTTTTTCTTCTTTAACCCGGAGCTCATACATTTCACTCTCATCTTGGGCGTTAATGAAGGACTATGACGTCAATCGCGTTGCATGGTCTCGCGCATACCGGCAGGTGCTGGCTCGTGGATAAGTCGTGCGCCACTTACTATGGTCACTAAAATGTTTGGTTCGGTATCTCTTTAATGGTGATATTTTTTTAAAGGCGAGAATTCCGAGCTCGTTGCTTTCGTTTTTGACAGTTTCTCCTGCTGATCGAGAGCTCGCTCAACCGAGATGCAACCTTCAACGAATAGCTCGCGCCAGCAGCCTTGTAGCAGAATTGTTGTACATTACAAAAAGCTAGGAATCAAAACATCACGCAAAACAAAGAGCAAATGAACACAGATAACTATGAACTATGAATACGTTAAAAGAGCAGAGCTACTTCTCAAGCGAAAATGAATAGACGACATGACATCACTATGGAGCATTCCATTTCTAGCACTCGAGACATTTGAACAGGGACTCTCAGCCGGTTGCCTGTGGGCCGCGTGCCAGCAAGTTGCGGGCCGCATGCGGCCCGCGGGCTGCGTGTTTGAGACCCTTGCCCTAGAAAAATGTATACCGCCACTCTGGGGCGATCAGGAGATTGCTTTTCGAGTTCTTCCTACCAGCTCCAAGCACTTCTATGTTTTGTTTTGATGCAAAGTGCCACAGACAATAACAGTACCTTTTACGTATGCATAGACATGATCTCTCGGCATGCTGCCATGCTGTGGTATCACAAATCTTGTTCAATGACTTTTGCAAATATGAACTGCTTCCTGATTAGTCGCCTTCCCCAGAAAGTTTTGATTTAGCCGATGCACCCTTCAGCCAATGTACAGGGTGCAACGTAGTTGTCACGAACAAAGGATTGCAGGTCTTCCCTGTTTTAACGCGATAGCTTTAAGAAGCTCGTGAAGCAGAAAGGCCAGCGCCGGTGGCGTGATGAGAAAATTGCGGACGCAAAAATCTTGATTGGTTGATAGGGTCATGACGTCACGGCCAGATGGCCCCGTGCAGGAATTTCAAACAACCCACAATGCTCACGTGAACTGTGCCATCAGCTATGAAATAAAAGTGATTAAAAAATATGACATGTAATGCAGATTACAGGTCGCCGCACCTCTCAAACGATTTCACTTTTAAAGTAATTAATTCGCTTTAAAAAAAGATTTGAAGAATTTTAGGCAGGATTTGAATCAACGACCCTTTGGTTGCGAGCCAGACATGCTATACTTCGTTTCACCTTATGTGGGAGCGAAGGCAAAGCTGGAAGCGCGAGCACGAAAGCTCCGTGCCTTCAGGCTTTGCTCGAGCGCGCGAGCTGGGGAGAAACGCAAAAAGCGCTGGTCTCGCGCTTCTAGCTTTGGCTTCGCTCGCAGACAAGGTGAAACGAAGTATACAGACCAGGCCACCGTGTCCGCCGCACTTCCTGCTCACTGTCAGGAAGAGCGTGAGGAGCGAATGAGAAAGCAATGCGAATGGGGCCCTGAACGCTATTGTGTTCCACCCTTAAAGGCAAAGCTCAAGCGTCCTTTGAGTTTTTGTCTTGGATTTGGAAGACTGTTTTTAAAACCGCAAGTGCAACGGAAAGTTCTCTTTCAGAGTTTTTAAACTACTCGGTACAATTCACTGCCCGTCGGTACTCTGCGACTGTAATGCAAAAGGCGCTTTCGTTGTGTTTGCGCCGCGCGGTGTATCACGGCGCTCGACAATGGCAGGATTTAAAGCTGAAATGTCAGCTTGAGTGTTGTGAACTTACCTGGAGCTGGGATCTAGGAACCGAATTTATGGAATGCTCAGCTTTGGCTACCCTTAGAAACCGATTTGATTGCGTTTCTTCGTCGAGGCTTCTTCCTGTAGAAGTGACGGCAGGCCTCATGCCTCGTGCCTCTGCAGTGCGGCTGGTACTGGGGTCCCATCAGTGGGGAGACGGCGGAGCGCCTGCTCTCGCAAGAGCCCGACGGGTCCTTCGTGGTGCGGGACAGCTCAGACGAGCACTACATCTTCAGCCTCACATTCAAGCTCAACGGCCTGGTGAGGCACGTCCGCATCGAGCACGACCAAGGTAAGGGGATCTTTTGCTTCTTTCGTCCGTGTGGGCTCTCGGGTTCCTAGGAACCCGGAGGTTTATGGGAGTTCCGTCCTGGGTTCCCCAAGCTCCCGAATTTCCCAGATCGACCCCTAAGTGAGTGTCTTTCCAGTTGAAGTGCTACTTTAGCAGATCCTAGGCACCCATTGATGCATAACTATGAGCCAAAGGTATTATTGTTTACAAGGTTCGTAGGCTTTTGCTCTGCTTTGTTGCATTAATATCGACTCCAGGAGGGGTTCCTCGAGAAATGAAAAGTTTGGGAACCCCTGGTGATCACGATGGTCGTCCTGGATTCGTGCAGGCCACACTGCACTCGTATGGGATGTACAAAGGCGAGTTACTTGTGCAAGTCGCAAATCTGCACAAACTTAGAACAACTCAGAAATTCGGCACCCATCTTTGCCGCTAGATTGAAGCATCGGTGGGCCAGAAACCGGAACCAATGCTACATCCCGACATTCCACTATTGCTTAACTGCAGTCAGTGGAATGTGGTGTGCATGTTGTGTATGTGTCTATGCGAGAAGAACAGTATGGAGTTGCACATTTTTTCTGCAGCAAGGAACTGGAAATGGAGGAGGGGGGGTAAATAAACGCTTGAGGTGTGTGTTCAGGAGAGCCAAGTGTACTGTGTTTACTCGCATTATAAACACACTTTTTTTCTTGCAAAATTGACACATACTTTGGGGTGCACTCGGTACTAGAGGTAAAATTTTTGCATTTACACATTTTGCGCAAATGTCACTTTGGCTGCCAATATGACGCGGCAGGTTACTGTGGCATGTCTCCACTGACAAATGTGCACCCACGGCTGGTCATGGGTGCGCTACAGTAACCACGCTGTATAAATGACCACCTGTTTTGGGGCGTTTTTGGTGTTCCTTTTGCTGTAGTAAAAGCGCCTTACAACTCTCACTTAGCACAGAGAGCGACACGACCGTTCTTGGGTCTAACCACTTTCACGATTTCACTTTCCGAAAGCGTATTTGTTGATATCAATGTATCCGATGATGCGAAGCATTTCTGGGGTGGGGCAGCTCCTTGACCCCAGCTGGAGTGTCCGTTCCCGTGGCAACATGCAAATTCCTAATTCCCACCTTTCTATTTTTATTTTTTTTTTTGCGATTTGCACATGCAATATTGGTTCCCGTGATACAAGTTTCATGAGTAGCATTTATTCACTGCACCAAAATTCAGGCAAACTTTTCAGACTGGACTGTTTCTTTAAGAGCAACTCTGTTTCATTTTTTGTTTTGAAAAAACAATGCAGTCCTCTTCAGTATCACCTAGGAAGACCACACATCAAATATTACAACCTTGCTCTATCTAAATGTTCCTTAAACGGTCCAGCAAACTTTGCAACTCGCCAAGTTGTCGATATCGGCCGATTTTAGGAGGCGAATTTAGGCGCAACCAACAGCTCAGTCGAGGCTACGGTGTGGGCATAGCCAGCATTGAGCTAAACATTATCACCATTACCACTTTTTGTTTGTTTTTGGCAAGCGTAAGGGGTGACGTCAGCAACATTTCCTCTTGGCAGTCAGCAGTGTCCTTGTGACTGGTGTAATGTGCCTGCACAGCGCGCTTCTTGGGAGCTGTCCGGCCCTCCCACCATTACTGCCATCGTTGTCTCACTGTTTGTGATTATTGTCTCTAGGAGATTCGTTCACACTACGGATACTACGTGCACAGACTTATGCCGTAGTTGTGCATACATTGTCGAATGTCGTAGACACCAAAATGGGGTGAAGTGTACAGTGCCGACGACACTTGTGCCTGGCGCGCACCTGCCCCAATCCTGCCCGTCGTCGTTGCGAGGAGCCATGAGGAATATGAGTGGTTTTAGACGAATTTAGCGGTCACACTCTCGACAACTACGCTTGGAGCACGCTGATGAGAGCGCACACGCCATAGTTGGGAGTAGGCGCGCACATGATGTGGTGGTATACCATTATGGCAGCAGCACTGCTAGAAATGAATGAAAATGACATTCTACCTACTAAAAAAAATGTGCTGGGTGAAAGGTTGGGTGCAGAACAAGGAACTTAACATACAGAACCAGATGTATGAAGAGCTTCTTGAAAGCAACAGTGCCAAGTATTCAAGACTCCTTCGGGTGCCTGATGACGTCTTCGTAGAACTACAGGCCCGCGTCCGCGAATACAAAAGCAGGCAACAAACATGAGGTCTCCTGTGAGCGCGGTTTTAATGTCAGCAGAGTGCAGATATGCATTGAACAAAGACGTCACTCACCCATCGTGTACGGCGCAAATTGCGGGAACCACGAGAGCATTTCTCCGTCAATCTTTTCTCATATCAACACCTTGATGTTTGTCTTCTAGTAGCAGAGAATGCTACTTGCGTCCCACAACGTCGGGAACTCCTCAGCGAGGGAAAGGAAAAAGAATGTGGCGTCGTCATTTAACTTTGCCATTCCACGTGGGACTGCAACAACAGGAACAGCAGTAATGGCGCAAGTGATTCTGAAGAAAGCGCAGATGCCCGCGTGGCCAGACAAGGCAAAAGAGTATCGCTGAAAGCAGTGAAAACCAAACTACTCCACCACTCACCCGCGGAGCGTTCATGCTTACAGGAAAAACCCTCCGCATCTCCATCAAAAAGAATAGGAGGTAAAAGCGCTAAAAAACGACGGACAAGTTGAAGAATGACGAACACCACAGAGCGCTAACTTGCAACTGAAGTTTATTACTGAAAACTGAAGTTTATTACTGAAGTTTATATGTGTACGTGTTTTCAGTAATAAACTTCAGTTGCAAGTTAGCGCTCTGTGGTGTTCGTCATTCTTCAACTTGTCCGTCGTTTTTTAGCGCTTTTACCTCCTATTCATGAATAACCAACTAGCCCAAGTACACACCCTTCTACAGTCCATCAAAAAGGTAGACGGCGCTGCAAAGGTTCAAGAAGGGATGACGTATGTCTCACGTGATGTATGCTCCACGGAGGAAAGCGGCGAATTTCTCACTCATGTGAATACTCCTTAAACTTCTAAGAAGCTGGTTTAACATCAAGTGAAAGTTTTGGAACCAGTTTATTTCAAAATGTTTTTGAAAATATATTGAATATGATTAGACCTTTCATGAAGGTTGCATAATCTCACACCCCAGGCAAGTTAGTGCTTCGTCCCCACACCCTGCACTAGGGCTGCACACAAGAAACGCCACAAACGAATTCTTCAGCCTAGTCAACGTGCTAGCAGCGCCAAATGAATGTTCCCACAGAAAATTAACCATTGTCACTAAGGAATCTCTTGTGAGCCTTTCATGAGATGTGAGCCATCCTTAACTGACTTTGCGTAGGATGTCTGGCCTGCACGTTTCGTCGCAACCGCTCTTCGCTGCTCTAGTGGACGGCAGGAGCAACACAAGCTCAGTATCTGTTCGGCAGCCAGATGCGGAACAGCAGCGAAGGCTTTTTGCTCCTGTGCAATGTTTCGAGGAGGCGGCGCCACACATAGCAACTCTAGGTGCCATGGCATCCTCTCGTACTGTTCACGATACAGTTGAACCTCGATTTAGCGAAGTCACCGGGACCCCCTAATTATTTCGTTAAATCGGGAACTTCGTAAAGTCGAGAAAGACATTCGGGATAGGCTGCGCGGGGAATCCAAATTTGTTCATTAAATCACGAAACTCGTAAAATCGGGTTTTGTTAAATTGAGGTTCAACTGTAATACGTTTCAGAAGTTTGGAAGCTGCTATCTTTACTCCAATGCTAGCAAAAGGCATGCAGAAAACTCTCGACAGCTTCCTGCAGAGGGGATAAACAGCATCTTAAAATATAAACTATATATAATTATATTTAAATGAAAAATAATCTTAAACATCTTAAAATATAAACAACACTGGCTTGAATGCATGCTTTTCTGTGGTGGTGCGCTCGCGAATGGTGGCCACCTGTGTTTTTTCACAGCCCTGCTTCTGCCTGAATTTTGTTGTGCTTCTAAAACTATATCTGGATGACTTCACGGTCCTTGAGACTCACGAAGGCTCCAGGCAGTCCCACACCCGTCTGCGGAGTGTCAGCTGTTGGACTTGCACCTTCCCACCCTTCTTCTGCCGGATCACCGTCAATCTTCCATTGCAAACGTTATGAGACGTGCATCGCCACCACATCGTCTGGTGCCTCCTGCTTGCCGGTGGTGTTGCTCCTAACCCCGGTCCGTGGCGTCCTAGCTGCGCCTGTTGCATGATTCGGATACGGGACAACCAAGCCGTTCCCTGCTGCGACTCCTGTGAAGGGTGGTTTCACCACGGTTACGTTTGTATGTCTCTGGGACAGTATTGCCAACTGGGCCCGTCGCCGATCTGTGGCTGTGCATAATGTGCTCGCTACCATAGTTCTCGGATGACTACTTCGATGTTCCTGCTGTTTCACCCATGAATGCCACATCCGGCACTGGCCTCGTCCCCGACTCTCCAGCCAACGGCGGCATGAGTGGCTTGTGCCAGTCTCTGTAGACACACTGTTGGACGCACGCCGACTAAGAGCCTTAATCTGTGGTACACCAACTGTCGCAACCTAAAAATAAGATCCAGGATTTTCAGACCATTGCAAGCTCACTGTCGGACAATACGATCTACCTGCGTTACAGAGACTTTGCTTGATTTCAGTGTGAACGACAGCGAGCTTCAGGGCGCTGCAGATGCCATATACATTTGTTAACCGATTTTTCGGACTCAGATAATTCGGACTTGTTCGATATTTTGGTCCTAAAGGAGGAACCGTGACTTACCCCATAGAAATAGTGCAGACTTACGACCAATGTTTTGGACAGCTTGAAATCCGAAAGTTTGATTATTCGGACAAAATCGTTGCAAGCGATCAGCGGGAAACACCACCGAGAAGCGGCCATTTTGAATTTTATGTGGGCTGCAGATGAATTTGCTTGGTTTGGCTGCGCTGCTTGAGTACTCCCGAGTCCTACCGCTAAGTGACGCTATGCTAGCCCTTTTT